TGGTATTCCTCATCTCCACTGAGTGGTTGAAATTAACTTTTCATACGATGGGTGAATTTAAATTCACCTACTTGTAACCTGCCGCCATGCTGCTTCCGTGGTGCACCACGTGAAACGGGTGGGCGGGGTGAATATACCAAAGATTAGCTCGCAACAGATTCGCGTTTTATGTACTTTGATTTTCTATATTTTTGCTTTATTTTACTTTATACGGGTTAAAAAAACGAAGCCTTTTTTTTATTAGCTGCACGTAACGTGAAAAGAGGAAAATATCATTTGCGTGATGAATGAGGTAAATGTGATATTATGTGGGGGGGGGAACGCATCTTGATGTTTTGCAATTTATAGTACTCATAATTGTATAATGTTAGTATATTCGAGACAGATCGATATTTACGTTTTGAATTTTAAAATGTATTAGCATGAGAGCCAGCTCCAAACCGGTAGAGGCCGCAGTCGTATTTACCTTACCCATGTGTATTCGATGCCCTCTTGGATTATGATGATGTGTGCTTAACACTTGGGAAGTGGGAAACACTTCCGCGTCAGTGTATGTCAGTGAGGGCAGTTGTAGCTACGTGTAAAAAAAATGGTATTGCGGGAAAAAAATAGTTGATTGGTTCGATGTACTAGCATTTTTAGTTTTGGGGGAATACGGTTCATGTCTTTCTGTAGGCCCTGGAATGGAAAATGGATTGCTGTTTATGTGAAATCGTTCTAGCTTTTGCTGCTGTAGCCCTGATTTGTTTAATTTTGGTAAGTATGCATGGATATTGATATGTACATGTATATCATTTTAAGTCGATGTTATCATGGGCAGTACAAATGCGTATGAATTATCGCGATTTACGTTTACGGTAAATTATATTTTTATTTACAGCACTTGTATGCTGATGTGTTACCTCGAAGACACACTATTCTTGAGTAAATTTGAAACCAGTCCACTGTTTCTGATCTCCTTGCACATTAGTGGCATTTAACTTACAAGAACTATACAGTACCAGTAACTACATTTTATTGGTTTTAAAATGGTTGTGTCTAAGTATTGTTGTCCACATCTTTCTCCAAGGAATAATATTAAAACTGTTAAAACATTTAGGCTAATTCTGTATTCTTTCCCCTTAACGTATTTGGAATATTTGGACTTATTTGTGTTACTCTTGGATCTGAAAATAAAACGCCATCCGTGACACAATTACCTGCTTGTGATTCATTCATTCAACAGTTCCTGGTCTCACAGAGGTGCCAGGGACAATTGCAAACTATGAGCAAGCAGCTTTATACTTAACATGGTTTTAGCGCTAATGTAAATGGGTTTTTTTTAACTTCATGTAACTCTGGATGCAAAGCAGTGAGATAAATGTGTTCTTTACAGGCTAAATGTTAATATAGGTGCTCTAATGTCATTGCACAGTACGCTTTTTATAATCTCCTGATCACCAGTATTTTCTTCAGGGATCCCAAGTACCAGGGCATTGTTGTACCCTAAATTGGGAATTTCTGGGGTACCTGTGTAATTGCAAGTTTTCTAGATCTCAATGAAGGACCAACATAAGAAAATCTGGGAGGAGCTGTTAAATTCAGCTGATTTAGGCTGAAATCAGAAAGAGAACCTGCAGACACACCAAGCCACTGGGAGTAGGACTGCCCACCTCTCTGCTACATGCTGGGAAACAAAAGCTTTCCAGTCTGCTTTGTAGAATGGTTGTTAAATTTAAATGCCATGGAATATTTTTACTTGGGGCTTGCTATAACAAAACTCACATTTCAGTTGGGCACCCCTCCCTTTATGTACAATCAGATTATACTGGTATGTGCACTTTCATGAGTTGCACATTTATTAAGCACTTTTTCGAATATTGAAACAAACAAGGGCTTTGTTTTGTTTTCTTGATCAAGGCCTTTTAGAGGCAAAACAGCGCTGTTGCAAATTTTCAATAATGCCGGGATAAGAACATCTTGTCCCCCTCAAAGTACAGTAGTTGCAAGTTTCAAAATGAGATCTTGCTTTACTTTTGCTTTGCTTTACTTGGGAAAACCAAGGTTACAACTGTAATTTACTTATTTTAATTGACATCGCACAACAAGTGGGAAGCGATTTTTCTTTAATTCCACTGCATACCGAGTTGGTGACACTATTGATAGCTTTTCCCACGCTAGAGTCTCTCTAGTGTTTGGTTTAAGTTGTTGTTTGAGATAATTAATAAAGTGAAAATTTGAGTGAGTAGTATCTGGCGGAGCGGTGGCTCTGTGGCTAAGGATCTGTGCCTGTGGCTGGATGGCTGCCGGTTCAAATCCCGCAGCCGGCAGAGGAATCCTACTCCATTGGGCCCCTGAGCAAGGCCCTTAACCCCAACTGCTCCAGGGGTGCTTTACAATGGCAGACCCTGCGCTCTGACCCCAGGCTCTCTCCCTGTCTGTGTGTCTCATGGAGAGCAAGCTGGGGTATGCAAACAGACAATTCCTAATGCAAGAAATTGTAAAGGGTTAATAAAGTGATATTATTATTATTATTATTATTATTATTATGATGTAGTTCAGGTGGGTAGCTGCGTCAGCATGCGTAGGCTGCAAAGGAACAAGTAATAGGTTTATTCCATGCTGAAAAAAAGAAGAAAGAGAACACAACGTTTTGGCCGTGGAGCCTTCTTCAGGTGTGGTGTGTGTGTGTTCCTCTACCGCCACCTGAAGAAGGCTCCACTGCCGAAACGTTGTGTTCTCTTTCTTCTTTTTTTCAGCACGGAATAAACCTATTACTTGTCCCTTATTATTATTATTAGAATAAGTTTCCACCCACAATGTACCCTTCACGTACAGGATTCTCCTGTGTTGTTAGTATTCATTTGTGTGCATTTCACGGTCATGGGATGACCCTTGTAACTCTTACTGTACATTACTGGGAAGGTTGACGAGTGGGTGAATGACTGTTCCTTCCTCCTCTGCAGGTGTTATTAGTAGCACATTTTAGTGCGTCTAAAATTGTTGACCTGAAACGTCACGAGAAGGAAAAAACTTTCCTGACTAATGAAGGGAAAAAAGAAGCTTTTCCAAGTCTCCACGACCCCCATTCCAAAGACCTCTCAGTGATAGTGCCCTCATACAATGAAGAGCAGAGATGTAAGTTTTCTTCCTCAAGAACGCTTCAGCACAGACTTCAGTGTCTGTAGTTTGTCCAGGTTTAAAGATTAATTGCTGTCTTTCTTTTGTAATGATGCAAACATGTTGAATCTATGGTTTGGAAAAAGGTGCAGTTCTAGTCAATTAAATGATACTGAGCTGTTTTAATTTAGAATTAAGTATTAAGTCTGCCAGATTTAAAAGAGCTGTAACCATCTTACACTGTTAAATTTCATATATTGTATCTCAGCCACTGTAGTTTGAGATATAAAATAACTTCATTTTCACCCTCCACATTCCTTACAGCAGAATAAGTCTGAGAAGCAATGAAGTAACCCTGCTTTGTTTTAAAGCAATGCCAAAAATTTTGATGTAATTCATTTAGAAGCTTGACAGCATTGCATTAATAATTTTACCAGTGCAGGTGACATGTTGGCACAGTGGTTAACCTTGCTGCCTCACAGCATTGGGTCCTGGATCCAGTTCCAGACCTGGGGTGCTATTTGTGTGGAGTTTTGTAGGTTCTCTCCATGTTCACTTGGGTTTCAGCCATGTCCTCCAGTTACCTCCCACAGTCCAAAAACATACCGGTATGTTAATTGAATTCTGGGAAATGAAGCTCTGGTGTAATTTTGTAGTGTCTGTGTTTGTATATGTCTGCCCTGCGAGGGACTGGCATCCATTCCAGGATGTACCCTGCCTTGTGCCTGTTTCTTGCCGGGATAGGCTCTGGCTCCCCAGCAACCCTGAATTACAAGAAACAGCTAGAAAATGGAGTTTCACAGAGCTTTTTACCTGCCTTACCTGTTACAAAAAAATAATTTTAAAATGTTTTTTTTTTACAAAGTTTGTCAGATGCACAGCTATCGCATTCTCGGTTATACAGAACCGTACTGTTGAAAAACAAGTGACTGTGTTGTCACACTCTCCTTTCAGTGCCTTTGATGATGAATGAGGCTTTGGAGTATTTGGAAAACAGACAGGTATCTTGTCTACTGTATATATGCATTTTCAATCATTGAGACAATTTCTGACTATAACTCACCAAATGTTCTTATACTGTGTAACAATGGTTGAAAGTGAAATATGATTTATTTTTGTTTTAAAAAAAGTTTTGAGTCATGTATATTTATATCACATATTAGAACACATTTGTGCTGAACATATAATAAAGGAAAATGGGCTGTTAAGCTGGCCTGAGAGCATATTCTTCGAAATCTGATTCACTACTACAGGGAGGAATAACCCAGTTTTTTAGAGTTACAGATTCTTCTTGAGGGTTCAGCTGCTTTAGGTTATAGAAAATAGATCATTAGAACAGAATGCACACTAGACATAAATAACCACTAGGTGGCGCTGATATTCCAGTTTCTTTCTTCTCCATCCTTTGTCAATTCAACTGCAAACGTTTCTTTTGCAGAAGCGGCAGCGTTCCTTTACTTATGAAGTGATAATTGTCGATGATGGCAGTAAAGATAAAACCACCGAGGTAGGAACATCTTTTTGTGGGCGTGACTTGCCGACGATACTTTTGTATGCATGGATTGCGTGCGTGGTGTACACATCAAGTCCCTGTTGCTGTAAAATGTAATGCATTCAGTTTTAATCTGCCACTTCAAATGTATTTTTAAATTAAACTTAAATGGCTATAAATTTGCTATACAATAGCTATAAAAATATATAAATATTTTTTTTTAATGTACATAAACATATTTTCCCCCCGTCAGTATTCTTCTCTGTACAAATAGAGCTAGAATAAATTAGGAAACATATTGATTGTCATTTGATGGGTCAGTGTGTGCTTTAACAGTAGACCCTTATTTCACAGTTGGTTTTCTTTCTCTTTGAGGTGGCTTTAAATTACACAAGGAAATGCGGCGCTGATAAAGTGAGAGTGCTGACACTGACGAAGAACCGTGGGAAGGGTGGAGCAGTCCGGATGGTGAGTCCATGTCTAGTTTCACACTTGTTACGTCGGGCCCGACAAGGTGTTGAAACGAGCTCGGCGAAAATTAGAGTCAATGAGCCAAGATATGCGTCAATCAAGAATTCATTCGATGACAGCGCTGAAGAGGACAAACAGAGCTGAGACTGAGAAAACAGCTGAGGCAGGAGCTGCGCAGCTGAAGCAGGCAGAGCAGAGGCCGAGGTCTGAGGTGATGAAGAGATGAGTAGTGGCAATGATGACTGAGGAACTGGAAACTGAGGGTTAAGAAACGCCGAGAAATACTTCTGAGACAAACTCAAAGCAGGGTTAGTGACTCAATGTCTGAGCCCTGAGGAATGGTTCCTCAGGGCTTAAATACTGTGCGAGGTTCCCTAATTGGCCTGATAGGCCCGGCCTGATCTCGTTGAGGATGGCCCCAATGAGTCTCCAGCATGTATGGAATGCGCATTGGTAATTGGTGGAGCTCATGCGGCGGCGCTGGAGCTCGTCGGTGGGCGTAACAACACTCTCTTAGATACTTATTTTAAAAGGCTTCTGAACCAAATTGAGGAGACTTTCCTAACTACATATTTGTTCGTTTGGTCAGATTGTAATGACAAAACGAGCCGTTGTCAAGGCTCGGTGACAATGAGGGGATAGCGTCCTTCATGCTTGGGCTTTAACTCGCCTGGGTGAGGAACTGACAGTGTTCGTTCGGAGATCAGCGCTGTTGCATCCCCCCTCACTTACAAGTTACGAGCCAGGGTGAAGCTGAGGAGATGGCGGATAATGCGCAGTGCCATATGCAGCCGGGGAAGCATTCACGCTCAGGGCAGCAAAGTGCGAGATGAGAATTTCGACTTCCAACCGCAGTTGTGTTTGAATCAACACCAACAACATTGCAATTGTGTTTCTTCTGTTTGTCCCCAAGTGTAATAGTAATCGCTGTTTTTTTATTTTTTTATTTGATTGTGGAATGATTTCCCACTCCTGTGTTTTCAGGTTAATGTGTCGTGGCTTTAGTAAGAAGAGTATAAATTGATAGTGCGAAGCGTACATTGATCTGTTGTGTCTTGTGATAGAATAGCAGACTGGAGTAAAACACTCCTTGATTCAGCTGCTGTTACGATAATGGCGTTGTTTGGCAGGGTGTCCTGAGCTGTAGAGGAGAGCTCATCCTGATGGCAGATGCTGATGGGGCCACGAAGTTTGCTGATATTGAGAAAGTGGAGGCCAGCCTTAAAGACCTCAGTCCAAAGCCGGTGAGTTTCAGTCGGTTAACAGCTGTACAATATATTAACATTCAGAACAGCTTACAATAACTCTTATAGAATTCATTAGTATTCTTTTGCCTCCATTGCCAGCAGCTATATCAGCCTGCAGGTCACAACTGACAACCCACTGAAGCTCAGCAGGTATGAGCCTGGCCAGTACCTGGACAGGAGACCTCCTGGGAAGGCTAATGTTGCTGCTGGAAGAGGTGTTAGTTGGGCCAGTAAGGAGCACACACCCTGCAATCTTTGTGGGTCCTTACCCCCCAGTATAGTGATACAGACACTATACTGTAAAAGAAAAGGTGCAGTCTTTTGGATGAGACATCAAATC